GAAAGAAAACGATTCCTCTTGATTTTACTGAAGGTTGATATAGTCTTTTCTTGTCATTTCTCGAGCCATTTCGCGTGCGCCGACTAAGTCACAGACAGTTATTCCCACGCTGAGTTATTCCGTCTTTTAACTTCCGCAGTTTCCTTTTTAACGGTGTCTGACACGTTCGAAAGTCGATAGAAATAGTAACTCATAGTTAAACATAATGTGTCATCCTAACACGTTTAAAGGGGCCCATCAGGATGAGAACGATTCAAATAGTAGTAAAGAGAACGAAAATGTTATCGGGCAGCTGAAAAAACCAAAAGGTTTGAACGGTAATATGACGCAAAAAACGTATGCAGAAAATCATCGGCCACATAAAAACAAGCGTAAAAACGAAAAAACAAAATGTTAAATAAATGGAACTTATTTTTTGTAACGCGAACTCTGACTGTCACGTTTCACGACCGATGGAACTGGATTATTGCAATAAACAGACACAACACACGAATCAAATCTAGAAGTCCGCCATGCTGCTTTAATAATCAACTTCCCAACTTACGTTGCGCGCTTAAGTATATTATGTATGATACATTGAAATGTACCTTACAAACACTACATCCCTTCCTTTTCCAGTATAACCATTATGATCTTAGGGAAATGTCAACACAGTGGAAAGTCAACTAAAAACCTAGTACGACTTAAACTCACAAAAGTTAATTCTCCTCTTTCGAACCGTAACAGTCAACAATGACATTAAGTCATAACAAAGTTTCTAACAATTGCACCCAAGTTAAAATAGAGTCGTTAACAATGACACTCAGGTCATGACAAGGTCTTTAAATCTTTCCGGCAGCTTCTTGACCCATGTTGGTCTCATCATAACCGGGCTGTTCAGTTTTTCTCGTTCTGCTTCCAGTTTTACAGGATCAGTAACATCAAGCAATGAAGTTGTTTCCTCAGGATTCTGTGATGTCTCCTCATATTGTTTTTTACATGGGTTGTGTTTCGTATAAGTTGAGCGCCTTCTGGCGATTCAA